CTCCATGCTTTCAAAGCTTTGGCCACGTTGCGCAGCTTATAGTTGATGGTCCTGTAGGCATCAAGCCCGGGCGGGCAGGTCCAAGCGCCCATGACCACCTCGACAAAGCCTTAGATAGATGGCCATAAGGCCTCAAAGTGGAACCGGGGCAATGCCCATGGCTCCGTGCACAACACAAGCAGCAGCGACGCGTGGTCGGAGCAATCGGTGGAGCGATAGTGCAAGTGGTGGAATGGGTGACTCTCTAGCCATGGCATCGTGGCAAATACCTGGTCAATGCGCTCCAGTGTTGGCCTAGTCCGTTCATTACTCCATGTGTAGAGGCGGCCATATAGGTGTAGCTCGGCCAGCTGTAACGCATCAATTGTCCGCCGAAAGCGCTGCATGAGACGATAGTTCAATCTAGCATTGTTGTTGTCTTGTGCCTGGTAGATTAGATTGAAATCACCGCAGATAAGACATGGCCCAGTGCAGGTTGCGGCCAGACCCTCGAGCTCTGAAAGGAATCCCTCCTTGAGGGCGTGATCTATCAGCCCATACACTACTGTGAGCCAGCAACCATCATCGCCATTCTGATCCACCGTAGTGCAACGTGACACAGAATACGCCAAAAGCAACCTACGAGGTATGCCATTTGTCCCTACGCCATCCGACCAGAACAACCCCGGAGACCCCCACCAAAGGCAAATAGGAGTAGTCAAAATCCGTATCTAGCAATTCATTGATCATGTTTACAGAGAATACAACCACCTTAGTTCCTAGAGACTGACCACGGAGACACGCTCCAATACAATGACATCTCTAATAGAAGTGCGCCGAGCCCGGCTATTGAGTCCATGGGCGTTCCAAATAAGAAATTGTTCTCCACTCATAAAGAACAATGGCGTGACTAGGGAGACCTCAGGTCTAGACCTCAGAGGCCGACGCTGCGGACCGTCGCCGACGACGCCTCAGGTATAGCTCCCACATGGCCGACCACTTGGAGGCAGTTAGTGGTTCCCTGAAGACTTGGCGGAACCTCTTGGAGTATGAGTTATCTGGCACCTCAGGTGATGGCGGGTCTATCGCAGACCTCCATTTTCTCAACAACACCCGCTTCGCCTGGACCTTCGGCTTCGGGTCCCGGCAGTGTGTGAGGGACGCAAGGCGGAAACTCCGCCGTGGGACCGTGGGGCTGGCCCGGTGGGAGATGCGGCCGACTAGGGTGGAGTTCGCAAGAGGCTCCAGCAGCGGTAGTCAGAGGGAGCTGATGAAGTCAGGCAGGGTTGCGGTGGGCTCCTCCCGTGGCTGACTGGCAACCGGCTGTGACGTGCCGTGTGCGCCAGCGATAGAGCCCGGGGGGGTCACGCCTAGCTGGCGTCGCCCCCCAGAGCACAGCACGTCGTCGAACGGTAGATTTAGAAGCATCATCGGTGGGTTGGGACCGTGCGCATTGCTAGGCCTGGCAAACTCGAGTGCCATAACGTCCCATCCGTCAGGCCCACCATAGTCAGAAGCAGCCGCATCACCAAATAGTGTCGGGTCCAACTCGTAGATGGGCCTCAAGAGCTCCCGATCCCCCTCATACCTAGGCTTGCGTCCATGATGGCCTTCACCAAACATGGGCCGCTCAGCCAAGAAAGACGAAGCGGACCGAGATGGGGGGAACGCAGATCAAATACCCGACACTGAGCCCAGCGTGGGGTTCGTGCCCCCAATTTCGCCTCTAGCTCAATGGGGTCCCCGCGCGGCGGGGTGGGCACCAGAGAGCCAACACGGGGCGTGGAGTCCAACACCCCCTGAGGGACCCATCTGTCTAAAAAGGGTGTTAGTTGACTTTCGGCGTGTACAGGCGTGCGAGCAGGTGTAGGGTTGGAGCCCGACAGGACGTCCGGAATCTCGCAACACACGGCCACCGAACTCGGACCACATGTGTAGTCCTTTGGCCCAGCACCCACGAGTCCGCTCCTCAGCAACGGACAGGGGACAGAGCCCACAATCAGTGACATGAGCAACTTACGAGTGGGCCCAACGGCCGGTGCTAGGATAGGGCCACCGACATCGGACCCTGGCCACGGCATAGCTTCGTGAACCGACGGTGAACCGGCGCCGCGACAATAGTCCATCTCCGGGTGGAAATGGTTGCAATTGCTGTCCCCCGAGCCGCCATCATCATTGGTGGGGCTATCGCCGTCGCTAGAAGGGGACCTCCACGACCGGTCGTCTAGGCCTGGGTGGTAACGATTGATGTTGCTATCGGGAGAGCCGTTGTCATCGTCATCATCAGGCTCTGGCCCCTCCAAGTCCAGTGGTGACGGCGGGGGGTTCCAGTCTTGGAACGCAATTACTCGAATGCGCACCAGATATCGCAAGCCCAGGAGCTCCTCCAGTGCACCCTCGACAAGGTTATGGACGCGCGGCTCTGGGACGAAGATAATTTTCTCGTCTGGGATAAACTGAGGGTGCAGGCACCAAGTCGAGACGAAGAACTCACGGTCATCATCGGCTGGCACATCCACCGGACGAACAATCTCGACATCCACGCAAGAAGGTTCGAGGATCGTCTACACGGTGGCGCTCCGCACATGGAGGGGGACACGAGTCATGCTGACCAGCATAGTGAATTGGAAGGAGCCCGCACTGGCCATCGAGGTACGCCTCCATGGCTGCCAGACTAGAGGAAGTGGGGCACCCATCACCGGGGCGGCAAGGACACGGTCCCTGTCCTCCCGACGCCGGAAGCGAACGACGAAATCCTCCGGGTCGTGGCGACTAACCTCCGCGTCATATGTCGTCATGTCAAACCGCTCGGTGAGGTAGCGGGTGACCATGGCGGGTGACACCATGGGCCTAGTGCCACCGACTGCAGCGATGAGGGCAAGGCCAAGTGCGTCCTCAGCCGCCTGCAACTCCACAGACCGTGGGATGACGACGAACTCAGTGCGACGTAGGCGACCCAAGCGGTCACCAGGAGGCTCCCCTGCGGCGGCTACCAGGGGCGCCCCCCAGGGGGGTGGGGACTCAATCGAGGGCCGAGGGGGCAGAGTCGGCGGGGCACAACACCTAGGCACGGACGGGGAGTGGCCAGTCGAGACAGAATGTGCGGATGCCGTGCCCACAGACCTACACGCCGATGTCACTGGGCAGGTCAGCGCGCAGCGACCCTCTGACTATGACCCGCATACGGCGGCGAGCGGGCCCGCTTGCCTCGGCCCGACGGAAGGGGCCAGGCAAATGAGCGATGGCCCTCCTGGTGGCAATTGAAGCACCACGCTGGGAAGACGCAATCCCGCTTGACATGATTGGCAGCAAGACAGTTGAAGCAAAGCCCCTACAGCTCGATGGGGACCGGCCGTGACTCCCTCAGCGGTGAGCGACGGCGCCAGCGAACCTCATAGAACCCGTCCGCATCCGGCACCACGAGGGCGCGAGCGGGGTGCGCAGACGGAGAAGTGGGACGACGCGGCGAGGTAGGCGGAGAGACGGCCATCGAGGTGGCCTAAGGGTGTGCGCGCCTGGCCGCCGCCATGAACGCATCGACCACCCTGGGGCGACGACGCCGGCGACGCGCGCGCCGACAATGACCGGAAGCACCCCGCGACGGCCTTGCCCCTTCCCGGAGGCGATGGTGAAGGGGGCTCTGAGTCAGAGTAGCTCTCCGAGTCTGTGAATGACACACGTTCCCCCTGGAAGGAGGCGGAGGGGCTCCCAATGAGCGCGGCCACATCCGAGAGGAGGCCCGACGACCCCGCCCCCAGGGATCTCAGGGAGGGATGCTCCTCATCGGCCTCGTCAGCCCAAGAGCGGCAGGAGGGGGAACCGTTGTCCATGGACGCACCTATCAGCAGTCACCACCCGCCGTCACCGCCTCACCGGAGCCCAGAGGTCACCATATCCACGCGTTGTCCCGTCGGTGCTCAAGCTACCTTACCTTCATGAACAGTAGCTGCTGCAGATACGACTGGTCGAGCCGTTTTTAGTCTAAACATGCCCTTAGCTCTAAGTCTTTAGCTTAGATTTCTTACCTAAAGGCTAAGGGCCTGTTTGGTTAGCCTCTCCTAAAGTTTAATCAGCTAAATCTAGTCTCATTTAGTGACTTTTCACCCAAACATTATGACTAAATGGGATTAAATGGGCTTTAGCCAACTAGTCACCAAATTGTTGCTAGAAGGGACTAAAATGGACTAAACCTCATTTTTTATTCACTTTGGAGCCAAACATCCTAACTAAAAGGGACTAAAAAGCCTCTTTTAGTCTCTTTTAACCACCCAAACCAAACCCAATGATTAAAGTTTAGGAGGGGGAAACCAAACAGGGCCTAAAACTATACAAGTAGGATGAGTAGTGTCTAACTTAAAGGCATGTTTGAATACCATGGGCTAATTGTTAACTAGCTAATTTTAGTTTAAATTAGCTCTAAACAAGAGGGCTAATAGGGAGACAAATTTCTTAGCCAAGTCTTTAATTAGTTGCCAGCCAACTAGCTAGTTAGCCATAACTAATTTAGGTTAATTTTTAGTCTAACTAATAACTAGTCATGTGTATTAAACATATAATTACTTGCCTGTCATAGCTTATGAGTATCGTATTGAGTTGTACGATTTTCAAGCCCAGTTTTCATTAAAAAAACTAAGCGGGCACTCATCTAGAAATCGCGGCGAAGCTTTTGCCGTCCTCTTAAAAAAAAAAAAAAAGTATCGTAATGCTGTTGTGGTTTGAGATGAAGTCCAGCAACTGGCGCGGGGTTCCAGAATAAGAGCGACCTCATTGATAGGTGCCGAGAAGAAGTCTACACGAAGAGCGTTCGGATGGACCCGAAACAGAGGCGGGATGAGGACCGAGTGAGGAAAAGCGGTCCAACAGGCCTTGTGCACTTGTGACGCAGACACGCAGTACGTATTATGAGATCCAAAAGCCCATCATATTGGATTGGATGGCAGACGATAAGGCACGCGCGCAAGCCACCGTGGATAAGAATCGAGAAGCTTGCGCTCTCCCGTCTGCTCTCTCCGCCTCCATCCATGGCGGCTCATCCCCTCCTCTCGTCCGCCGCGCTTGTTTGTTGGCGTCTTCGTCTTCCCCCTGTAGCTGCAGGGGAAGGGAACCGCGTTCCCCGGCTGTGCGTGGCGTCAGCACGCCCAGCTGCTCGAGGTATCGAAGCCGCCTCTCCGCATTGATTTCCATCTTTTGTACTTCTATTACTGATTTCCACGGCCTCTCCTCATGTACGGCAGGCGGGAGGGTGAGGTCCCTGAGCGTGAGGTGCGAGCAGGGAGCCAAGGGCGGCGGCGGCGGGCTGGACGTGTGGCTGAGCCGCGGCGCGATGCTGGGCTTCGTCGGGGCGGTCACTGTGGAGCTGACCACTGGCAAAGGCGTGCTTCAGGTGTGGGTTGTCTTTCGTTCTTGGCTTCTTGCTTTGCTTTGGCTGACAGAATGGACAATTTTGATAAAAAGTATCAATCTTTATAATACCAAATAAATATCATTGATTAATTACGAAATGTATTTTCATAATAAATTAATTTAAAATCATAAATATGAATATTATTTACTGTAAACTTAATCAAACGTGAACAACTTTTCATGGCACATAACCTATAGATACATTCTTTTCGTGACGGAGGTAGTAATTTTTAGCATGGGCTATTTGAATCCACCTGCTGCTAATAGGTGGTTAGACAGTGAGTTGGATGTGCAACTCTAAACCTGTTAATGGAATTAATAGTTAGCAGTCCTCAATCTAATAATTAGCAGGTCTTTTTTGATTCACTACTTCCAATTTTAGCTGCTAATTTTTTAGTGCTAATGGATCTAACAAGCCCTAAATTCTCATGGTTGATTAACGGGCTAATTAATTTTTGTCTGCCGCAGAATTTGGGATTGACCGCGCCGCTGCCGACGCTGGTGCTGGCGTTCACCGCCGTGGTCGGCGTCCTCACGGCTTTCCTCATCTTCCAATCCGGAACGCGGGACTGATGGACGAATTGACAGAGCTGCCGGCACTTTCGTAGGTCCCAACTCCAAAGAAGGCATGCATATGTCTATCAGGGTCTCGTGCCCTGTATGTCTATGCAGTTGTGGTTGTGTTCACAGAAAGGGAATGCAGAGGAAGTTGGAGGAGTAACACAGCGCGAAAAAGATAATTAATTGTTACCAAATGTGTTTTCAGTACTCCTTAATGAAGGAGTAAATTGCATTTTGGATATGTTAAAGTGTATAATAAGGTATATATGTGGCTCATGAGACTCTTTATCACAACAAAGGGTTAGGGAGACAAATCCAATCCATCCATCCACGATCTATTCTTTTATCCCTCCTCTCTTTGGCCAAGAGAGTGGCCATGGTCGGTTAAGGGGGCTATATCTAGGCAAATTTTGTTGCGGGACACCATTCTTAGGTGAAATTGGCTAACTAACACACTATTTGTAGTGTTTGTTGAGTACCATTATAAATCTTCAGTTCATCAGCTGCTGGACACCACATGCATTATAATGTAATTTTCGGTTGTTTTGGAGAGATAAACACGTGTGGTTGGCCCTTTATGCCCTTTATCACCCCGAAATGGGATGGTTGGGTCGAACCTGTTAGCTACAGGACCAGAGCTGTCTGTCTCCGCCCACCTGCGAGGACGAGGCTGAGCACGAGCAGCCAGACCCGGCAGGACCAGGCTTCGACGAGCACTTCCAGACCCATTTGAAAATAGGATGGACAGGCATATGACCACGGAGAATTTTGTAGACTTTGATGAAGAGAAGAGACCTGTTCCCCAGATAAGGTATATTCAGTGTTGTCAAACAATCATATTCTTTTTTTTTGCAGCCATGTCTTTTTACCCATTTAGTGAGATTTGTACCGCTAGATTTAAGTATTCAAGGCACTTATTAACCATTTACTTATTTAGTATTGGGGCCTCAGATTTATTTGTTCTTAAACATTATCTTTATTTCAAGCCTTGAACTGGTCATATCCCTTGCAACCTCAAGTTTATGACACAGCTATAATTTGCAGGACATATGGATAATAGTATGCAAGTTGTTGATCCATCCCCTTTCAATGTTGTGTAGTATTTTAAGCTTTCTGCAAGCATCATATTTTGCTACAGTGGAGAAGAGGAAACATGAACAGAAATTGGATGCCACATCATGCTTGCTTGTTCAACCAAGCAGGCTATTCATTATATCTGTTTCCTTCTTGAAATAATTGAGGACTGAACTGAGTGATACTACGGCAAATAATCTGATTGTACACTTGATTACTTAGTCTGCAACTTGCATATGTTGATTAGGCAATCGACCTCAACACATCAGTTTTGGTCTAGCATTGGTTCTGATTGTGGTGCCTTTCTTGAGGGTTCTGAATTGTTTGGTTCAAAAAAAGGGGAATAAGAATACGTTTGTCCTTTGTACTTCGACATCTTGTGATATATCTGGACCTAGCTTTGACATTAGCGAATCAAACAGGTATCTGCATTCCATCAGCTATGTCATTTCCCTATATGTTTCTGAGTCTCAGGACGGCAGCTTGCAATTGATATGTAATATACTTTCTGTCCATATGCAGATAAATTAAGATCGTGCTCAATTTCTTCAGTACGATTTCATCAGCTCTTGACAATGATGAATCACTAACCACCTCTTGGCCCCATTGTATAAAGTTTCTGAAGGATTTGCTAGGAAAGTTGTTAGTGGTATGTTAATATTCCTATCTTGGTATTGTTCATTATTCGTTTGAGCAGACAGGAGATGCATACATATTCAGTCTAGACATGTTCAATCTGTCCGAGCTTATCTGAGTGGTTTCAGATAAAGTCGAGCAACTGGCCGAGGCCCGAGGAGGTCCAGAATAGGTGTAGGTGACCTGATTGATGTTGAGAAATTTACCGCTCTCTCGCTGGAGCTCCACCATGGCTATGGGGTTCCCCCGCCCCGATTTGGTCCAGCCGCCTCCACCGCCACCAGGGCCCGACAAGAGGGCTAATAGGTGGTCAGATTTCTTAGCCAAGTCTCTAACTGGCTGTTAGCCAACTAGCTAGCTATTCATAACTAATTTAGGCTAATTTTTAGCCCAACTAATACTACATCCATCCCAAAAAGAATGTAACTATGGGTTACGTGCCACGTAGAGTGGTTCACGTTTGACCAAATTTCTAATAAATGATATTCACATTTATGGCTCTCAAATTAATGTATTATGAAAACACATTTCACAATTAATTAAATTGTTTTTTTAACACACAATTAATTAAATTGTTTATTTAATCTATAATTGGTTAAAATTAAGGTACTAACACATGATAATGTACTAGAATTGCATTGTTTCATATATTAAACATGTCGTACGGTATGTGGATCTGGTTTAATCAGAGCCACACCACCTATCGTAGGCTGAATCCCTTGAACTTATCATTTGCATCTGCTACCGTACGAAACGAGGCAGCCGGACTCGACGTCAGGTCAGGATGACGCCATGATATAGCGTCTGGCGCCTTAATTACTTACTACTAGCTTTTGTTGGAATTAATTAACGTGGCAAACCAAATCAATCTATCTAAGCCGCCGAGGGTTAACGACTCTTAACTCGGAGAACAGAGATAACACGGTAGGTAGCCATCGATCATCGTGGTCAAACCACCCCTCCTCCTGCCTCCTGCCTCCTGCCTCCTGCCCTCCCGGCCCCTATAAATAGTCCATCACCACATGAGAGAAGAGCACAACAACAGCTAACAGAGCAAAGCAGAGCAGGTGTGGAGCGTGGCGGAGACGCTTCCTGAGGACGTGCTGGGGAAGATGGGCGCGGCGCCGGCGCCGGCGTGGGAGGACCACCGCGTCATCTCCCCACGCGACCTCGCGGGCGCCGACGGCGTGCTGCTGGGGTTTCCCACGCGGTTCGGCATGATGGCCGCGCAGATGAAGGCGTTCCTAGACGCCACGGGCGGGCTGTGGCGGGACCAGGCGCTGGCGGGGAAGCCCGCGGGCGTGTTCGTCGCCATGGGCACGCAGGGCGGAGGGCAGGAGACCACCGCGCTCACCGCCGTCACGCAGCTCGCGCACCACGGCATGCTCTTCCTTCGTGCCCCTGGGTTACACCTTCGGCGCCGGCATGCCCGGTGTTGACGAGGTCAGCGGTGGCAGCCCCTACGGCGCGGGCACCTTCGCCGGCGCCGATGGCAGCAGGACGCCCACCGAGGCGGAGCTCGCCATCGCCAGACACCAGGGCACCTACTTCGCCGGCATTGCCAAGAAGCTCAAGGCCGGAGCCGCGGCCCTCGCTGCCGAAGTCTCCTCAGCCTAATAATGATATTAATCAGTCGTCATGTCTACTCAGACTGCCTTTATTTAATTTCCTGCTTTATTATTAATTCATTGATGTTTTTTGGCGACAGAATAATATTGAACTACGTACGTACTACATGGCATGCTTTGCTTGTTCCTAAACATGATGTCATAAGTGGCTCCAGAGACTAGAGGACAAAAAAAAACTCGAAGGGAGTTTGTGTTATCCATTAAAAGAAAAAAAAAATCTTAGGCGCACGTCGTACCAAGAACTACTCCTACATTGTATTATTTTTAATATTATTTTTATTTGAGCCCTACTAGGATTAAGGTTTTAATTCAGCACTCAATTCGCTCCCTTTTAGACGCTAAGATCTTTCACACACACACACACACACACATATATATATATATATATATATATATATATATATATATATATATATATATATATATATATATATATATATATATATATACACACACACGATGAGGCTAAAATGCACCTGGGTGTATTCTCTATAGCAAATGCACCCAGCCATGAGACGCCTTGCTGGAGCACGGCGGCCTTGAAGCCCATCATCGGGCGTTGTGAGTCCAACCAGTTGACCAAGACGCATGTATATCCCGAGACCCATGAGCAAGCTCAGACAGGCCGGCGCGCCCTCACCGAAACTCATCCCTTCAACCGATTACAATTTTCGTCGTACACAAATTGCAACATTGGTGGTAGGCCAGTTGCATTCCGGTTGGGTAGGCCCGTTGCAACTGTCCTGGACAGCTAGTTGTAGCTCCGTTTGTATCCCAGTTCCAACTTAGCCCGTCAGCCGATTGCATCTTCAGTCGTACATAAATTGCAACTCATCCCTTCAACCGATTGCAACTTCTATCGTATACAAATTGCAACCTTGGTGGTAGGCCAGTTGCATTCCGGTTGGGTCGGCTAGTTGCAACTGCCCTGGACGGCTGGTTGCAGCTCCGTTTGTATACAAGTTCCAACTCAGCCCGTCAGCCGATTGCATCTTCAGTCGTACATAAATTGCAACTCATTCATTCAACCGATTGTAACTTCCGTCGTACATAAATTACAACTCGTTCACACGCTCGCTGTATGTCTGCCTCGCTGCCTGGTGGGGCGGTGTTGGCGTGGGAGAGGGTAGAGGTTTGTGGCCCGCGCCTGATTAGTGGGTTAGTTTGGCCGGTTGCCTAGACAAGACACGTCAATTGGCCTAGGTGCATTACATTGCACCCAGTGCATATGCACCTGTGTATATATATATATATATATATATATATATATATATATATATATATATATATATATATATAATTGATTTTGATTGATGGGACGACAGGGACAAACGGTCCTCAACTAGTATATTACCGTGATACTGAGCTAAGGAGGTGCGTCTGTCGGGACGTCTCTACTGGTGGGTCGCAACACCAACCCAACACTCTTATACACTCATCTATTCTCCTCCAACTACGTCTGCTCGTGAGCCCATCGTCCATTCCTCTCCATACCGCACCTTCGCGTCCATGCCGCCGTGGCGTGCTCCAGCATGACCACACCGCCACAGCGCTCTCCACCTCTCCCGATTGGCTGTCATCCTTTCTCTCCACGGTGCTCCAGCGCTGCAGCCCGCCATCCTTCCTCTCCACTGGACCATCTGCTCGTCGCTGCGCTCTCCACCGCGCCCGCCGCCTTCTCCACCGGAGCTGCGCTCCACTCCGTGATATCGAGCTCCACGCCGGCATCAAGCTCCGCGTCGACGTTCCTCCATTCGTCCAAGGCAGCAAGTAGATGTTGCGCTGAAAGTGCATGTTGCAAGCGTATGTTTTAAGTGCTTTATATGTTGCAGAGGTATGTTATAAGTGTTTCATATCGATGTTGCAAAAGTAGATCGAGATGTTGCCTATGTTGCAATGGTTGTACACGTATGTTGCAAATATCTGTTTCCAATGTTTCATCTGTTTTTTTAGATGTGTGTTGCGAGTGTTTCACACATATGTTGCAGGTGCTTTATCTTGATATTGCGTATGTTCTCAATGTTTTTTCAAGTGTTCTCAGGTGATTTTTTTGCGAGTGTTTCAGGCGTATGTTTTTAAGTGTTCATTTGTCGTTAGACGTATGTTGCAAGTATTGTATCCGAATGTTTCAAAAGTAGATCGGGTGTCGCACGTATTGCAATGTTACCCACCTACTGCAGCTGCTGGGTGGGGCGCAGACGCTACGTGGGGTCGGGTGGGGCGCAGATGCCACGTGGGGTCGGGCGGTACGCGGAGTGCAGGTGCAGGAACGGGGTGCAGGCGCAGGCGTCCGGATGTAGCATTGCCGAATATATGAACCATGGATGCCGATGCGAGTTCCGTAGGAGAGAGTCGCAGCCCAAAGTCTTGCGCCTAAGAACAGTTATAGAAGAGTGGAGGAGAGTTTACATTTTAAATACGGAGGGCCCAGAGGGCAGGCGGCCATTTGAAGCAATGAGCAATTTTCCCCCCTATCGCTATGCTAGTTCTTATCTCATTCCCAACTTATATTAGTTGTCTAAACTAGCATTGTACCTAAATCTAATTTGTTCCTTAAGAGGCTCCTAACAGTCTCTTACATTCCTGCTATATGAGAAACAATTTTAGGAGTGTAAATTGATAGTGGCAACAGAAACGCAGAATAGTTTTCTTAAATACTAAGACTTGGTTGGGGTATTTTGTGCATGAAACACATTAAGAAATTTAGAGCTGATACTTTTGTGAAGCTTTGGTGCCTTGTTTGAGGTAACTGCTTAGGAGCATGCTTCTATGTTCTGTTGGGCAATGGTCAGTGCAGCTCGGCATAGATAACAAAGGTGCAGTTTCAGTAATTCATCAGATCAATTATGAGATTAAGCAATTTTTTTCCAGTACTAACTCTGTACCTGAAGTTGCACGGTTTGTGTGTCTGGATTTGGTGCAAGCTTTCCTGGTGTAATTAGGAGCATGCTTCTTGGATCATCAGGAGATGGTTTGGCTGCCTTGTTCTTGCCATTCTCATCAAGATTTTTTTCACTGGGAATTGCAGAAGCATTTTGTCCAACAGAAGCTTGTGTTCGCACTGGTGCGGGAAGTGCTGCACTCGGATCGATCACTGCTGCTATGGTTGATTTATCACCGAGGGTTGCTGAAGTTGTTCTGCTGCCCTTTTGCCAACAATAGATTCTCTCTTTGTTTCCTTTTGAATTTCATGTCACATTGGGAGCAGTGGAGATCCTATATAATCTTCTAAGATTCCTAGAAATTAGATTTATTGAATTGAATCTACAGTTTTTGTTCCCATGGTATTTTTTCTCTTGCCGGCAATTCTTTTTGGTTTAAAGATTTACACTTACTTGGCTTGAACAAGATTTGCATTAAGAGCCTGGGGCCCAAAACAGCGTAGTCTATGTGCAGTCCTTTTTTTTGTGTCCTCATTCCTCCAACGTTCCATTGTATGTTTCAAAGAAGATGATACTGGTTAGAAGAATTGAGGGATATGTGGCACATTTTCATTTTCTTCACACAGAAATTACTGCTCGATATTGATGACAGAACAACTTCATCAGCATGTCTCCTATATATTAGTACACATACACTGAATTAAACTTGTATGCATAAATTATGTAGATTCTAGTTCTTAATTAATATACTTTTTATTAAGTAGCTAATTCAAAGAAGAAAACAGAGCTTTTGTGGCTGTTAAGGATATAATAATAATTTAAGATAAATAGACTGATACAAAAGATTGGCTTATTATAATATGATTATTGTAGCCTGAACTAATATGGAACGAAATTTGAAGGGTTTTTTTTGGCAACTTCAATGGAGAACCACTTTATGTACCTTTTCCCATTGAGAAGCCTTGGAATGGTCAGAATCACCTTTTTACTGTTCTCGTCATCGGATTGTTTTCAATGAGTACTTGTTTTTTTTTTCCCTTAACGCTTACTCTTGTCTTTTACTAGAAAAATGTTATTCATCAAGCTACTCATGCCGATAATTTCTTGGATTATGTGATTCACCTACTGAAGTTATTTCACTTGGACAACATATCATTCTATCATGTGAATATGTAACATGCAAGACAGTGTGACATTATAAATCTGTACAGCTTGACAACAGCTGCATCGACTATTTGGGAGTTGCAAAAAATCTTGGTGTATGTAGGAAGTATTGTAAGAGGCTTTGATTGTCTCAAACTTGACATTTTTCTCCTACACATCCGGCAGGATCATGGGTTTCTCATGGTACACATTTACAACAGGATCGGAGGCCCTGCAGTACTGGTGCTAATAAGGCTGCCATGGCGACAAGAGCTGAGGTTCACTGGTTCAAAGAAATGAAGGTAATGGTGATCCAACTGTCATTGTACCCATGATCAAGCATGGAGGCTCTGGTCATGCCTGCCTGAACAAGCAAAGAGAAGATGCTTAAAGTGTCAGCTTAGGAACAGGTGGTGATAGAATGAGAAGATGACGGGTTGATGCTCCAATCCAGTGATCTGCCATGAGGCATAGAGGCTGCAAGTAGTGTGCATGGTCCTGCAAAGCAAACATGATGCATGAAAGGAAGTGCTTGACATGGTGCTGATTGCAATGTTTTATTGAGGCATGCCTTCTGAAGCTTCACCTTGAAAAAGTAAAACTCCTACACCTGCCTTTCCAAGGTGCTTGTCAGATAATGAGGATCGTGTTTGTTCTTTTTGTTTTTCAGTGATCATGAGAACAGATCATCGTAGCAGCTAAAGTGACTAAATCACATAGGCATATATCCCTTTACAACCCGAGGAAGCAAGGCCACCACATGCCAATGTCTTCTCTGTACCCCTTTTGTTACTTTTCCATGAGGGTTTTGGGATAGTTTTGGGCATGTGACTCCGAAAGCTCAAAGACGGACAGGTTGAAAGCAAACAACAAACACTGCTGCACCTCTAAACTCCATATGATGACTTATATATAGTATCATATGTGAAAACTTAATCCACTCTCCAATTCCATTGGCCACTATCATTACAAAATGATCACCACAACCCAATGAATAAAACCAAAACAGTTACATCACTCACACACACCTCTATTTTTTTTATGGAATGCGGTAATAATAAATATATAAATAAAAATAGCCCTTCTTATTTTCTGCACCAACAAGGAAGGGACACGAATTGGACAAAGAAAAGAAGATAGGGTCCAAAATAAGTTATGAAAAAACATAGCACATGAGCGCACACCTTAGGCCGCCAACGCCAGCGCCAGCGCCACGGCGATCGTCACCCACCGGGCGAACAGGGACGACGGCGCAGCGGCGGCCTTGTCCGCGGCATCGTCAGATGAGTCGTCGGCAGACGGGCCATCTGCAGATTCGTCCGAAGGCGCAGAGGCTGCCGAGCCGCTGCTGGGCTTCTTCTTCTTCTTCTTCTTTGGCCCTGCTTCTG